GCAAGCAGTCCAGCTGATTTTAATTGCCATGGTGATGCATAGGGAGAGATGTGATCGCTGGAGTAACTGGCTTGCAAACAATGAAGGGCTTTAAAGATTAAAGTCAACACTTTAAATTGCATTCAAGACTGAAAAGGAAGCTAAAGCTGACCAGAGAATGCAGGTGTAATATTCTCCATATGTTTTGGATCCTGTAACTGAAAGATGTCTAGCCCTCTGCCTCACACACAATAAAAACCCCAGGACAGTGTCTAACAGCATTCTATTGTGAAGGCGATAAACACAAAGATCGTGGAGCTGAAGAACACAAACACAGAGTGCAAGGCGTTCTTGGACATAGGATGTCATCTGACGAAATCAGTGGACATCTGTGAAGCCTTTTCCAGGCTGCTGCAAAGAAACGAATTTTGAACACTTGGAATCTTGACCCAGAAGTGAATTAGCCCATAGTTGCTGATGCAATCTGATCATAGTGGAAATACTGGATTATCAATAGGTGGCGAGGCCCTTTCAGGCATGAGAAATAATGTAAATAGTGCATTAGACTTCACACTTGAACAAGTGTTACCCTGAATACCTTAAGATCAAAGTATAAAACCTGAAGTAATAATAATATATAATATAACAATAAGGGTTCCTGGGAGAGGACAGGGGAGGGAATAAAGGGAGTTGATAGCAAGGAGTTCAAAAAGAAAATGTGTTGAAATGGATGGTGGCAAAAACGGAACCATTATGCTTGGTCTAATTGAATTATGGATTGTTATAATATCATTAAAGAGCTCCCAATTAACAATAGCAATGATCTACTTTGTACTCATTGGATCCTAGAGAAACAAGACATCAAGATGTAGAATATCCTTGTTGAGGTAAGCAACATTAAATGTAAAATCTTACTGGAAAAACAAATCAAACACTACCAATGTGAAAGAAAATTCTCCAAAAAGTATCATTTTGTTTTAGCCACTGACATATGGGAAAACTTATGAAGTATATGCTTATAAAGTTTCAACTTATATTTAGTAGGGGAAACAATTTATTATACAAAAATCATAAATGTCTGACAGATGGTAATGCTGTTGTTGGTTTTTTTTTCCTTTGTGTTCTTGGCAAGGGCCCCTTTAGCTGAGTGGCTTTCTCTTCTGAAAACAATGAACATTGTCATTCACACCTATTTCCTGAAATTAAACAGACCAATTCCTCTACGAAGCCCTCTATAAATGTAGTTGCTAAATAATATCTTCCTATTTTGCATCATAAATTATTTAGAGTTACACATTCCCCAGGATAATGCAAAAAGCCAACGCAGGGCAAAAGATCTTCAATGAGAAAAAACCCTTTATATGAAATTATTTAAATCGATTTTGAGATATCATGTTTACATGATTCAAATAGGACCTCACAAAAAAAAACAAAAAACGTGAGATACTGGAGGTGTCTTCTTCCGACCTGAAATCTCTATTTTTAGCTTTTGCAGTGCTTAATTTCTAAATTGTGTATTAAATTATACTGTATATACACAGATAACTAAGCAGTGGATCTTGTTGATTTGTCTTCTGAAAAATGGACATTTATATTCATAGTGTATGTTACATAAATACTATTAGTTATCTTACTTGAAAGCAACACCCCACTCTCCACTTTTTATCATGGTAAGAATATGGATAAAAAATTGCCATTTCAGTATGTTTTGTATGTACAACTCAGTAACATGAATGACTTGTATCATGTTAAACCACCACCACCACTGTCCGTTTCCGATTTTTCCCATCACCTCAAACAGAAGGTCAGCGCTCTTCAAGCAATTACCTCTTTCCTCTCCCTCCCATTCTTGGTAATCCCAGAGAGACTTTAGTCTCTATATATCTGCCTAATGCACATTCTTTATGTAAGTGGGATCATGCCGTCTGAGCCTCATTTCCAATGACTTCTTTCACTCAGCATGTTTCCAAGATTCCTCCATGTTGTAGCATTATCAGGACTTCATTTTTCTTTATTCCATTGTATGTATGTCTCATATTTTTCGAGCCACTTGCTTAAAGGAAGAAAGATATGAGGTTGATAAAGCAAGATGTGAAGATTATATTGTACGAGTTTGCAGAAAGACAAGGTAAAATTTGAGATGAGATAGGCAATACACTGCGTAGTCTCCCCATGGGCAGGGTTAGATCTCTGTGGCTTTCACAGTGGACAACATTGTGTTCTGGGTTCCTTAAAGGAGCAAACTTGTTTCCAGTTGTGCAAGAAGGCTGATTACTGTTGCATTTATTAAAAGGTGATTCTCAAACACATTAACAAAAAAGTTGATTCTCAAACTCTGAGTACCCCAGCTCTAGTGGCTATAACAATCTAAATATTTCAGTGACTTAAGATAAAAGTTCTTTTCTCATCTACCTAACAGTACCAAGCAACTGTTTTTTAATGGGCTAGGGCTGAAGGAAGAGACTAGGAAGGTTACCATAGGATAAGCATGGGAAGAGGAGCCCTCAGGAAAGCACTGCTTTCAATTCACCCTAGGCATCAGTGTCTAGTTAGGTTAAGGGGAGAGTATGAACAATGCGTTTGAGTCATTTTTAAGAGTATAGTTTGGACTTGATGATAGATAATTCTACTCAGTTTCCATTAGCTGGAATGCAGAAACTCCAAGGTAAGGGAGGCTAAAAAATATTTCTGAGTCTCACAGTTAGAAGAAAGAAACAAAATGAACTGCTAGCCTTTTTTTTCTTTTCTTTCCACAATAAGTATCACAAACATTGCTGCCAATACCAGGGTTAGGCCGCATTTGGTGAGACACAGATAGAGGCACTTTCCCTGCCATTTTAAATGAAGGATTTTGCTTTTTCCTATTTATTTCAGTTTTCTCCCTCTGGTTCTCCTCCTTATCCGTAACCTATTTTATTAGTCATCTACAAACTATTTGGCTGAATCGATGGCATATTATATTTTTATTTTGAAATGTGCATTCACTTTCAAGCACAGTGTGAATTGGTGAAGTACTATGTCATGCATAAACCTCCCACTAATTTCTTATAAAATATAACTAGAATGCCAACGAACCATTTCCTACCTTTATTAATAAAAAGGCAGGGCTTTCTTTGTGCCTCAAATGTCTTAAATCTAGAGGAAGATGAACAATCAAAACTCATATTAGCTTATTGATTGTTGAGAGGTTCATCTTTATTTTCCAGGCACAATCCAATTTTCGTCTTCTAATGCTAAGAGCATTTGGGGGTAAAAACAAAATTCGGAAGAAAGTTCTATTAAACGAATCCCTTGCAGCCTAGGTTGTTGCCATGGAGACCCGTAGGCAAATCCCTTTCTGGCATGATCCCTCTGGCATCACTATGCATCAGTCTTCTTATTCTCATGACAGGAAGAGAGGGTTTCCAGATGTGACTCGTGGCGCAGCTGGATGGATCTTTTCCCTCCCAGAAGACACACTGTATGGATTGCAACAAGAAAGAAATTTCCAAATTTCTTAAGATTTACTATGCGAAGGATTTCTCCAGAAAATATAATTGTCCTTTAATATTTGTGTGGAAGTGTGGGGGCGGGAAGTGCCGATCCCTCCTTATTTCCAAAGGAGGGATGAGAGTGGAGAAAAGGTGCCCTCCTGAAGCGGGTCCCCCAAGTGAAGTCAGAGTCGGCTATCACTCCCCAGCCACTGTATTCTGCTCTACGCGCACAATGAAAGGGTTCCGGCCACAAGGCAGGAGAAAGGCTGAGCTTTCTAAACCATCAACCATTGCAGTCTCGGAAACCCACAGGGGGTCTCTATGAGCCAGCATTGAGAGCTGATGGCAGGAACCTTGTTTCTGATTGTGTTTTGTTTTAATGCTTCATATAAACTAAGGTCATGGGGAAATACCTTTGCTTGGGCTCCAAAGAGGCATTCCTTATTTGGACGGTCCAAAAACGGCAGCAGCAGTGTCTCTGTAAGTATGTCAGATCTGGGACGCAGATGATACTGGATCCTAAGACTGGAGCCATGGCTCATCTGTTTTGGAGTCAGGTTGTGAGATTTAGTTACTATGCACAGCATTATTCAGAGCTCAAGAAACAGGATAGATGTCATCACTCTTCTTATGATTACATCATTATTTGGGGGAATCTTCCTGACCACGATATTTCAGATATTAACGAGAGCAAGGGTGGGGGTGGGGTCGGGTGTACTAGGACGAAAGACTCCACTTAGGACCCCACTTAGAAACGGAAGAGAACTGAAAGTTTGAACTGGAGTTGTTTGATTAAACTAGATACCAGGGCTCCCTTCTACAATTAGATAAAGGACCACGTGCAAGAATGACTGGACTTGTCTAATAAAGTCCTTGGAGGTGCGATCCAGACGAGATCCTGAAAGTCACACGGCACAGTTTGGCTAAGGGACCATTGAGGGCTGCTTAGACCTGTTGTGTCTGGGTTGCTTCCTGGGGAGTCAAGGCTCTTGGTAAATTGGTCCTGGGGGAGAAATAAAGAAAATGTGTTGAAGCCCTGTAAGGGATTCTAGTTATCTTGTGCTTCTGGTGGTGTAGTGAGTTACCAGTTCGAACCCACCAGACACCCTGAGACAGACAGATGAGGTTTTCTCCTCCTGTAAAGAGGTGGAGCCTCAGAAACCCACAAGGGGCGGTTCCACCCTGTTCTTAGGGTTCCCTAGAAGTCGGAATCCACTGGAGGGCAGTGAAACGTGTTTCGAGACAAAGCCTAGGAGCAGGGAGGGCGACGAAAGCAGCGCAGAGGACAGAAGGGAGTAAGAAAGAGGCTGCGGAGCCGGAGGCCATCGCCTCCTGGCAGGAAAGGCTTCAGCGAGCATCCCAGGAGCCCGAGCGCTCCAGCCCACCAGGCGGCATTTGCTACTATGGCAACCGAAACGGATGACCCAGGGATACAAAACCGGTTTGGGGGCAGGGAACGCGAGTTATCCCGGAACTGGGCGTGGTTTCGGTTACTATGACAGCGGGGACGCTTTGGCAGGGCCCTAGCTCTCTCTCCCTGGTTTTTGCATGGCACCCAAGAAGGAAAAGGGAGGGACTTCCAGCAACAGCGTTAAGATATGGGAACCCTCACTCATCGCTACCCACGTCAACCAGGTGAGCGCAGCCCTGGAGCCCCAGCAGGGCCAGAGCCCTCCAGGCCGCGCCCCACCCCGCTCTCTCTCCCTCCGAAAACTGCCGTCACCCAAGGACCCTGGTCACCCAGGGTCCCATCCACCAGCGACGCTTGACAATGGAGTGAGCCTGGGAGGGAAGGGCGGGAATGGGCGCGATTTCCGAGTTGTGGGCGGTACGTTTTGGGAAACAGCGGCGGCGACCCTCGGACACCTCAAGGCCCCTTTCAAAGCCGTCATCCCTGTTCTGCAGGTAGAAGGGGAGATCTTTCTGAGACAAGGCCCCAGTCCTCTGTCCCAGGATTCTTCAGTCTTTGAAGGTGCGGGAGACCGCATCAAGCAGAGGGTATCTGCCAGACCATCCAAAAGATACCACAAGGGCACCGGGTGGTCTCCAACTCAACCTGCACGTGACCTCAAATTGCTAGAACTTAAAAAAAAATTGCCAGGATTTGTTTCCAACTTCTCACCCCACCAACACATCCACCCACCTCTAGTTAGTTGGGAAGCCAACAGCTCTTGGCACCTGCAAATGGAAATCCAGTCCTACCCTGAAGGTGGATCTAGGAACGTGCCGTCTGCCAGTGTCTATTTTAAACACTGGAAGAAAGTATTGTGTTTTTCTGTGCGTGTGTTGGGGAGGGGTGGGGGGCCCTAGAGAGTTAGTAATTAAAGTAAAAAGGAATCTAAAGGAGGGTTGCATTGCAAAAGGGAGTGGAGAGATGGGGGGCAAAGGGGGAGGGCTTAACGGGAAAATAAGTATATAAGTAAATAAAATAATTTAATTAAAATGGCTCCCTGAGAAAGAGCCCTACCCCTCAGGTCGACATTCTAGTCTGTGTGGCTGAAAACGAGGGAAAGTAAAGTGAAGCGGACTTTGGAGTCTTCAGTGACGGACAGGTTTGTTTCCAACATATGGAAAAGAACTAAATCAAAATGTTGTATCGCCCTCATGAGAAATTCCTCCCTATCGGTCCTTATTTTCTACTGCAATTGTAGTTTCTCTGTGACCAGTAATTCTGCCTGCCAGTGAAATTAGTCCTGATGAAGACTTTCATGGAAGTAAGTTTTCGGGCTCCTGACGCTGACATGCCATCATGGACTCTGGGGTCCTTTCTGGAACTTCAGGAGTGAAGGATGTCCACTCAGTGGTCCCCCATGAGCGTCTCAAGTTCTCAAAGGTGCTTTTCAAAGCACTCTGTGAAAGCACCCTCTCTTTTGCTTTTATAACTCAGCATCAGCCAAAAAGATTTTTTTTCCCTGCCATGTTCTTTGAGATCCTGTAGGCCAAGCGTTGGGTTTGGGGTGCACATTTCTGCTTGAATTATAAACTGCTGAGCAACAAGGCTTGATGGAGGTGCTGACGCTGCATTCGCTTTAGTGCTGCAAATATGAAGCTATAATTTTCCTAGTTGAATGGAAAACCTAAAGGCACTGTTTTTCCTTAAGGCTGGAAAACCTGAAATAATATTCAGCTTTCTTAGTCCTACTCCAACAATATAATTTCAATAAATCTTAGGTATGAAGAAAAAGAACTTGAACTCAAAGTAATATGAAGTTTTGACGACAAAGAGCAATCTCAAGATGCTCCAATTTATAGGAATACATGCTTTTTTTTTTTGGTAGGGGAGACAACTTCCCTTCACCTCCTCTCATTTTTTTCTTCCCCTTAGTTTAGTTTCATGTCTGATCCAAGAAGAAATTTCCTAGACTATCCTAGCAGCCAATGCTCCGAAGCAGACCCTGACTGCCAGTGTAATAGGCTGTGAATTGGGGGCTAAAGGTAGAGGCATTTGTGCCCCCAAGTGCTCTGTACTCTACCGAGTCTTCCCTCCCTCCTTCTCCCTTAACCTCTGACAGCCACTGATCTTTTTGCTGCCCCTTTAATTATGCTTTCTTCAGAATATCATATAGTTGGAATCATGTAGTAAGTAGCCTTCTTTTCAGGCTAGCTTCTTTCTGTAGTAATATGCATTTAAGTACCCTCCATGCCTTGTTGTATCTTGATAGCTCTTTTCTTTTTTGTTTCTGTTTTGATGAATGATGTGTGGCATCCAATGTATGGATATCACATAGTATTTATCCATTCACCTACTGAAGGACGTCTTAACTGCTTCCAATTTGGGCAATTATGAACAAAGCTGCCGTAAATACTCATGTGAACAACTTTTTCACTCATTTGGATAAATATTTAGCAGTACAGCTGCTGGGTCATATAGTGAGTTTATGTTTAGCTTATGGAATTTCTATTTGCTGAGGGTGTTTTTTTATTATGGACTGGTGATTAAAAAAACAAACTCACTTCCACTGAGTCAATGGTCGCTCATAACCACCCTATAAGTCAGGATAGACCTGATCCTGTGGGTTTCCGAGACTAATACTGTATGGGAATAGAAAACCCAGTCTTTCTCCCAAACAGGGACAGATTTTGTCAATGTTTTATAGCATCTATTGATACCATCAGGAGCCCTAGTGCTGTAATGATTATGCATTGGGCTGACAAGACTCAGCTGTTTGCAACCCCTGGCTACTCTAGGGGAGAAAGACCATGGTTTCTACTCTTGTAAAGAGTTACAGTTTCAGGAACCCACAGAGGCAGTTCTAAACTATCCTATAGGGTCACTATGATTTGGAATCAACTCAATGGCAGTCACTTGGATTTTATTATTATTATTATTGATATCATCCTGTAATTTTCTTCTGTTGATATGATGAATACACTAATTGATTTGAAAATGTTGAACTAGCTTTGCGTATCTTGAATTATTCCCAATTGGTTATGATAGATCATTCTTTTTTTTTAAATCACTTTTTGGCGTTCTTAAAGATATTATAGCAATCCAGAAATCAATTAGATTAAGCATAATTATACAGTTGCTGCCACCATCATTTTCAAAACACCTTCTTCTTCTTGAGCTCTTTATTATCAGCTCCCCATTATCCCCTACCCCCAGGAGCCCTTATGTTATATATTATTATTATTTTGCCATATTTTACACCATCCAATGTATCCATTCACCTACAGTTCTGTTATTTGTTCCCCTCAAGTAGGGTTATACAGATATCATTGCTATTGATTCTCCTTCCCCCATCCCCTACCCTACCCTCAGAGAGTCATTACTCCCATTACTATTTCTGTAGGGTTTATCTATCTTGGATTTCATGAATCCAAAAACCTTAATTGTTCAAATGAACATACACAGGTGTCACAAGATTAATGAGGTGAAACTAAGTACTTAACAGTAAGGGGAGGAAATATTAAAGAACTAGAGGATATTTATGTATTTCATCAGTGCTATACTGCACCCTGGATATATCATCTCTTCCATGTGGCCCCTCCCTGAGGGGCTGTCCAATTATCTTACCAGTGGGTTTTGTGTCTCCAGTTTGCATCTAGATTTATGAAGGCTATTGGCTTGTATTTTCCTTCCTAGCACTATCTTAGTTTGGTTTCAGTATTAAAATAAACCTGGACTCGTAGAATTATTTGGAAAGTGTTTCTTCCTGTTCTGTCTTTGAGGAAGCTTGAGAAAGGTTAATGTTAATTCTAATTATTTGGGAGAATTTACCAGTGAAACAATTTGGGCCAGATGCTTTCTGTTTTGAAAGAGAATTATTCATTTTATTCCTTTAATAGATACAGATTTTTCAGATTATATATTTCCTTTGTGATTTTTGGCAGATTGTGTCTCTCAAGAAATGGATCCACTTTACTGAAGTCATCCTTTTTTTTTTGTAAATAGGGTTATTCATAATGGTTCTGAAAATATCACTTGTCAAATAGTTTCATAGTTTTAAAATTGGGAGATATCATATATCTTTTCATTTGTTCCAACTCTAAAATCTTATTTTTACCTGTAGCAAAAAGTCCAATTGTTGGTATTATTCCATTCCACTATTCCATTCATTTATTCAAATTTACACACACACACACAGAAATAAAGACACACAAAAATTTTGTGGGAACCCACAAATAATTTAGCAGTCTCATAACTCCAGTATTCACTGATTTAATTTTGCGATGTTGACTTCAGGTCCCTAAGACGCAATGTAATACTGTCATTTGTGTTATGTGTATCATTAAGAAGTAAATTGTTGTTGCCTAAATCTCTTTACTTATTTATTTCTGAGTATAAATACTTATGGAGCTTAAAGCATTTGAAACATCAAATGTAATGTATGGAAATCTTTGCTAGGAATCATTAGGTCACACTTTCAATTTCCATATTATTATTCTTTTTTTAATTAAATAATCATTTTATTAGGGGCTCATACAACTCATCACGATCCGTACATATGTCATTTGTGTCCAGCACATTAGTACATATGTTGACTTCATCATTCTCACAACACCCACTTTCCACTTGAGCCCTTGGTGTCAGCTCATTTTTCCCCTCCCTCCCCGCACCCCACCTTTTCAAATATGAGTAAGTAATACTATTTGCACTGAACTAACTTGGACTAAAATTGGACTGCAAAAGCACAAAATAATGTTATACATTTTAGTGGTGCCTTTTACAGAACTAACTCAAAACTGGAAACTCACAAAGTATATGGACTCTCTTGCCCCTTTTATAAAGCTGAGGAGCCAGGAATTTCAAAGTCTAGTCCAAAGACAAACAGTGATTGGATGCAGCAGGGATCAGACTAGATTTTGTACATAGTGTATCTGTTCTCCACCACAGACCTATACATTTGCTGTAAACCTTCTTATTGGAAACAGTGCCCTTGCTTATGTACTCTCTTACTGCAATCCTCACAGTAATGCTATGCATAGTATTACAGAACTAGCTATTTAAGGAATGTATACTGAAAAGTTATTAAGTTAGCACTTAGGATTGAAGGATTGCTTAAAACCAATAAACATGCAAACAATACTTAGTTTACATGAAACAATAAACTCCATACTTAATATTTCTCTTATCCTTGGACTCTCGTAGATAACATTCAGAAGAGGATTTAGGATTAGTTTTATATAAGTCC